TTGTTTTTATGGAAATTCACAATCCTCATTATGAATTCATGTATCAACTAGCTACTAAATTGTTACTCTTCGTCTCTATACATGAATTCATATAGAAATCCATGAAAATTACTGCACATTAATAATGCTTGTTCATCTGCTTGTAACAATTCTATCAAATCTCTAACGTGTTGATGATTTGGATATTGACGAACAGTAGCACAGAACCATTGGTCTTGAGATAAGACATAATCTAGAGACATCTGCATCAAATAACAAAACTTATTTAAAAATAATATTTAGAGAAATCGTGATTACAAATAAAAATTAAAACATATCTTACACAAATATTTTTCGCTTTATCCACATAACTAATTAATAGATAAATATTTATTGCTATAAAAAAATTTACCTCGGAGCATATATAGTTCTGGACAATCACATGAGATTTGGAGGGATTGGTTGATTTTAAAGATAAATCAATTAAACTATAAGAAAATATATGAAAAGTACTCTAATTAGACATAAGCTTTTTAGTATTAGAAATAAGATTATCTAAACAAAATATTCAAATTATTTTTGGTTTTATGTTAATTGAAGTATCTTTTAATAATGAATAAAGTAAATCAAGATAATATAGTTTTAGTTTGAGTATGATAGGAAATCCTATAATCACAAGTGCTATATCAAGTCTAAAGTTAATTATACAGCTTATTACTAGAACTTTTGATTTAGATTAACTTTATTCATCGGATTTTAGCACTTACCTACTTGTTTTGCTATGTCAATAAGTCAAGAGTTGGCGAAAACCTTTGCTCCATTTTAGAAAGAAACCAGAAGTTATCAATATGTGCTATATCCCTCGACCCTTGCAATTGATAAATACAAGCAAGTTCACTCATCATAGCCTAAATTCCCAGAAAACTCTGAATCGTGAAGGTTTTGTGCTTACATTCATACTGGTAAAAGATACAAAAGCTTTTCTACTATGGAAAATTTAAAGAATAAAGAGCCAATAGCTTTATTCAACCTAACATACTCAACAAAACAAAACATTTATTTTTTAAAATAAAAGAAGACAGTATAAACACCAAAAATTAGCAATCAAAATTCAGCTAGACCATATTAACACAACAAAAGTCCGTAGAAAATAACTTTTTCACCAAAAAATTTTCACAGCAGCAGGAAAACAAATTAACTACAACAAAATAACAAAAATAAAATCTTGTAGACTAAATAATTACCTTGTAATTTGTTTTCCTGAAATTGACTTAAGATTTTGGGACGAAAGATGAAAAATCCAGCTATAAGAAAACTGAAACAAAACTGAAGTTCAGCTAAGAAATGAAAAATTCAGCAAAGAATGACATTTCTTTTGTTCTTTCTTTCTTTTATTCACGTGAAACAACTTTTCAGAACTTTCACTTTCACGTGAATTCTCTTGACTTTGCCATCCATATAAAACAAAAAATTCCAAGCAATAATTGTTTTATAACTCATTTACTATTTCATTTATTTTTCACCAATCAACCAAAAGATTTGTTGTTATTTATAGAATTAAAAAAAACATTAATAGTAATTAATGCATTTAGTCTAATTACTAATTTAATAATTAAAAAAAGAGAGTATATGGCATACTAATTTTATTGTTTGTGATAAAGTTGATATTATTTATTGTTTGTTCAATATAAATTCAGACTATATGGCATACTAATTTTAAAAAGAATATTTTCATTTTATTGTGAATTTGTAGTCCCAACAAGGAAGTGGTATCTAGGGAGGGACTACACATTTGGAAAATTCAAGGTGTCAATTATTGCATTGGTACCGATATGATGAGGAAGAAATCGTAGCAGAAGGGAAGATTGCATCAATCGACCCAAACGCAAAGGTACACCACATGCCATTTGTACAAGATTGTTGGAAGGTTTGGGCTGATGAAGTATATATGGGTCATTTTACCTTATATAGACCTACTGATGAATTTCGAGTTCTTAGTGAAGCCATGGGAAGTACTGTTTTTTGGCCAAAGAGTAGTGTTAGACTCATTTGACGAAGGTATTTCTTGAATTTTTGCTTGTTCAACTGAACAAAGACTTTTAATGTTGTGTGATAAGCTTATTCTGAACATGATTGACACATTATTAATGTTGTGTGTATTTGAGTTTCCTAGCTTTTTATTAATTAATGTACCTAACCTCTATATTCTTTCCTTATTGCAGTTATATGGAGTCGAGCTAAGTTAAGAGAAGAATTTGAAGTTGAGTTCTCTTATGCATGTGCCTTCTTGGACCTCATTTATGTAAGCAGCTTGCTTTGGGATGCCTTATGAACGATGCTTTAGCTTTCCTATTATAATTCCTGTAGTTGACTCATTGTGTATATTCTTGACCTATTTGTTTTTGCTGGTTTTTGGGCTCTCGTTTTTGTATTGGAGTCTTTATTGTGTTTTGAAAAAGTAATTGTACATGTTTTATGTTTATTGTGTATGGATAAAATATTGGTGTTATTGGTGGTTTTTGAGATTTTTGGTTTAAATGTTTTTATGAGATTTTTGTTGATTTTCAGGTTGGTTTAGTCCATATTTCAGAGGAAACTTTGTCAAAAATTTTATAAAAATATATCTCGGTAAAGTAAGTCAGGGTTGTCTTGATGGTGGGTACGACATTTAGTTGGTATCTACCATTGGCGCACGACACGTGTCGGGCCCTTTAGGGTGATTTGGGATGGATCGTGTCAATTGGTATTGCTACTATTAGGGAAGTCTAAACATGCGCAAAAAAAGAGAAAAATGAAAAAAAAAAAAAAAAAAATAAAAAAAAGAAAACCGGGGGTGAACGTTGTGAAAAACAACGACAACGTGCGGCGAGCGTTGCGAAAAACCTTAAGACAACGCGCAATGCACAATGAACGTTGTGAAAAACCTTAAAACAACGCGCAATGCACATTGCGAAAAACCTTAAGACAACGCGCAATGCACGTTACGAAAACCTTCCGCTCTATGACAACACCAAAGCTCGCAACTACGCCTGAACGGTGCAAAAGGTCAATGGCAACGTTTTTCGACCGTTGCAAATGGCAATTTTTGGTATAGTGAAGGATTTTTAATATTATTTAAATAAATATTAATATATGATCTCGCTATTACCAGAGACGGATTTTGGGGGGGGTTGAGCTGTAGCCCCACCCCCAGGCCCAAGAGCTTTTTTTAAGGTATTTTTTTATTTTTTTGGGTAAAAAAATCATTTTTTATGTGTAAAAAAAAATTTTCCCACGTAGTAGCCCAGTTTAAAATTTTATAGTCCGATCGTGGATCCAATTCTGGATCCACCCCTGCCTATTATGATCGTCGACGATTGATCACTGCCCTAGCTCACCAATATTCCTCGATCCGCCACTACACATGGATGTCGAAAATGAAGGTAAATTCTTGTCTGCGTTAATTAGTATTATCTCTAGAAATGCTACTGTATTAGTTACACTTGGGATAAAAATTGGTCATTAGTTGTAAATGTTTTGGTATGTGATGTTTGGCTGCAATTAATGAATTTACAGAGATAGCAAAGAAAGCAATTATTTTTGGTGGTAGTACTTGAAAAAACTTAGTTGGGCACTCTGGCTCTTTTCTATCAAAATTATGCAGAAATTTTATTTAGAATATCATGGAGATTACAATATTACTTTACTTAACTTTGCCTGTCTTATTATGGTCACAACATAGTTGTTATTCTAGTTCAGTTAGTCTTATTCCAGTTAAGTTAAATGGTCACTGCACAGTTTTTTTGCCTGTTTCATTAGTCTCGTTCCAGTTCAGTTAAATAGTCACTGCACGATTGGTATGTAGTATTGGAAGTTTGTCACCGGCACTTGCATGGTAGTTGAGCAACTGCAATTATTCACTGACTGGCGGTTGGTAGTTGTAGAGCCGGTCCTGTGATTCTTGGGGCCTGAAGCAAAGCCTAGAAATTAGGCCCCCCGGTGAAATCAACGTAAATGCAAACTTCAACAATGTATTATGCGACCCATTATTAACTTGAAAAACTAACATTAAAACAACAACAAAATATATTATAGCAAAACAATTACAAAATATCTCAAAATATCTAATCTCCAATGATTAACCTAAAAAACAATTACAAAATATCTCAATCATCTTAGAATTATAGTTTCCAATATAGTTACTACGTGCGCCTATACAATTGTTCATCCTACAATAATCAATCATATAAGTCGACTAGGCTGCAATTATATAAGCCAACAAGGCTGCAAACATTTCCAATCTCTAACATAGCTACTTAGGGCAAGCCATTGCTTACCTGAGAAGTAGAATTTTGATGAAAATTTTGGAATTACGCCTTTGAGAATGATCCCTTTTTTTGAACTGGTGGTAAGCTGATCGCAATTCGAAGAAATTTTTGGATTGTGTCAACGATGCTGTAACATAGCAAAAAGAAACATGTAAGGAAATAATAAGTAGTTATAAAACTTAATAAAATAAGTAGTTATACTTTCTTGCACATAATTATAAAGAATATAGTCAAAATAATACTAATAACAGTATCAATATATTCAATAAGTAACACAACAAGAATTTATAAATCGTGAAACACGAAAAACTATAAAAATTCACCCCACCCCACGCCCACTCCCACTCCACAACGCCATAACAAGAAAAACTTAATTATACTTTATTAACTCGAAGATATTGAATGCATTTTACTTTCTGATTACTATCAATTAATGTCCATAACTCGGGTCATGTCCAGAATACTCTCAAATTCATCATCTTTTCACGTTTACATTGAAATCAAAGAATTCCATCAAATCTTTAAGCCATTTTCACCCAAATAGTGAATAGAGGATATGAAGAAGAATGAATTTTATGAGAACCCAGTTAAGTAAACTGTAAACATACATCAGATCAAACCGAAACACATTAAACCGATTTAAGAATTGAAAGTCCATACTTTGTTGCATACAACAGCAGCTAGCAATTAGAACCCTCTACAATTCCATTTCTCTACAACAAAAATAGTTATAGATGCAGAGAGAACAACCTGATTGTCCACTATTGTCGCTTCAGCCACACCTGCACCAACAATTCAAGAAGCATTAATAAAAATATAGTGATTACCAATTTAAGTTAATAAATCAATGATTAAAAATGTATCAAGAAATTACCATTGGTGTCAGCAACTATGTTTCCCAGGTCACCCGCATGGCGAACTTCATCCTCAGGAGCTCCATGTGTCAAACCATTTGGATTAAAATGTGCTCCTATTACACCATCATTAATATTTAATAATATAAAAAAATGCCATTAACTAATTCTTGTGAACAAATATATAATCTCAAACATGAAATTGAGTCTAAAACCTGTTGAGATACACCCATTTGTTGTGTCACCGAACTCATACTACAAAACCCAAAGAAAATGTTAATAAGATTTGCCTTTTTCGAACTTGGTTTTTATTTTTCCTCATGATATAGGAAACAAGAAAACCTAGGCCTTTAGAATATTTAGAATTAATAACACTCATAAATCATAATACTCAGTTACTCACTAGATGAAACCCATGTTTGCCCGTTCCCCGGAGTAAGTCCAGTCACACGAATTCATAGTAGTTGGACCTGAAAATAGAAACATACACGGATGGTATCTAAGCATAAATAAATAACAATTAATCCTAAATTCCTAATCACGATAATCTACGAAGTCCGAACATTTGATTTCTCAAAATAATAATAATAATAATAACAAAAAAAAATGGAAATCAACCTTAAGGGCATCAACTGTGGAGACCGGAGACGGAGTCGTGGTCAGACTGTCGGAGTTGGAGCAATGGAGACGACACAACAGGTGCCAGGTTGAGCAGCGTATACAGTACCCTTATTTGATTTTCAGATTTTGGGTAAATGGATTGTTGATTTGTTGTGGATATTGGATTTGGATTATGGATATATAAGTTGGGTTGAGATTTAAGGATAAATGGATTGTTGGATAATTAGTTTTGGATTGGGCATTTCACATTTGGGCTTGCTAAACTTGTATTTAAAAAAAAAAAAAAAAAAGGGCCAAAATGAGGCCCCCTAAGGTCTTGGGCCTGAGGTGCAGGCCTCATTGGCCTCGGCCCAGGACCGGGCCTGGGTAGTTGGCTGATGGCGGTTAAGTTGGCAGCAGGTGTTGATTTGATGGTGTTTTCAAGGAAAATTAAAAGGGAAGCCTGTCACATACATAATTTTTTTTACAGACCTAGGGTCGACCCCGATATTTTGGGGGCCTTATGCTAATTTCAAATTGGATCCTATATTTTGAATCTCATTGTATAAAGTTTTAGCTTGTTTGATGGAGATTAAGCCCTTATTTGAGCTTCATTTTTCATCAAAATATATTTTTTTAATAGTGATTTGACATCATTTTAACTACACATTTTTCAATGAAATAATATTACACTTAAATCCAAAACTTTTTCGTTTTTTTAATCACACATTCTCTATCGTAGCATTATTACGAAATACTTTTTTTTTTAAAAAAAAAATAGGTCTCAAACAACCCCTAAAATCAAAATTTTAGTAGATTTTGATAGAAGTAGATTATATATGTGGATTTAAAGTTTTAGAACCCATAAAATATATGGTTAAAATTAATTGTTAATTTTGACTTAAATTAAAATCTAAATTTTAATCGATGCCAAACAGGGGCTTAATATAATTATAAAGACAATTATGCCCTAAAATTTGAAGATAAAATTAACAAAATGTGAAATTTCAACCAGCAATACAAATTACGAGTAAAGTTTGGCAAATAGAATTACAATGCAATGGCAAAAGGGTATGTTTATTTGTATGATTATTTTCTCACTGCAACTATTTGAAATAAAATTGAATATACATTTGAGTGATTTGTGTACAAAATTGGAGGATGTGATTGCAAAAGATAGTGTAACAAAATAATGAAAATGGTGATCAAATACAAACGAGCTTCTAATTTTATATTAATTTATAAGAAATTAACTTAAAATAATAAGTATCCGTATGAACAAGGACAGAAAAATATTAAATTCGAAATATTTTCAGCAAACATCTAAAAATATTATTATCATGATATTAAAACAAAACAATATAATAACAACCATGTACTCTGTAATATATATTTTGAAGATAAGAGAGAAAGAAAGAAACCTGTAAGGTTGTAACAATGGTAGTGAAATCAAACAAAATTGCATTAAATCTTCAAAATTTTAATTCAAAGGGAGATAATTTATATTTTATTGGGTTGAAAAAATAATGGTGAATGATTGTCAAAAATGAAATTTGAAAAGACAAAGAGACATTCTCTTTTGTTAAAAAAGAAAAGAAAATGAATGTTTGGAAGATAAAGTGTCAAATTAATTATAAATAGGGAAAATAGTATTTGCAATAAATAAATGTAAGTCATAAGTTTGTTGCCATATATATATTTTAAAGATTTTTGTATTTCAATTTTTATTAGTTTCTTATGTTTGCATACGATAATTCTATTTTCAAAATTTCATAAATATAATTTTCATTTTTCTTCAACCAACCAATTAATTTTACATCTGGGGCTCTCATTAAAGCGGGAGCTTTAGGCGATCACCTACTTCGCCTATACTTAGGACCACCACTAAACAAACTCCTTAGAGAATACACATAGCATGGGGTGGGTGGATTATTTTTTGAATTATTTTACGGGAAAATTATTTAGAAACTTAGATTTAAAGACTAATTTTCAAAAATAAGGAGGATTAATTTTCATTTCACAAATAAGGTGTTAATTAGATTTAATAATTATAATTAATAAAAATTTAATTAAACCTAAACTGCCAGAATGGTCGGCATGAATAATGATTAGGTATTGAAGCTTTGACCAGGAAGTTGGAGAAATCTTTTGCTTTTAGCTCTCTCTCTCTCTCTCCGTGTTTGCCGTTCATTCCACCTCCATTTCATTCCCAAATCCAAACCCTAAATATTTTGGAAAAGCGAATCCATAGCTCCATGTTCCGTGCAGATTTTCTCTACGTGATGTTTATCCAATTTCTTTAGTAAATATATAAATCTCTCAATTTCCTCTGTTAATTTATCATTTCCAACTATTTTCTGTCCAAATTTCGAACAAATATTTCTCTCTCCGACAAGGAAGATGCGTTGTGATGCTTAAAGTATTCCTTATCGTCTTCTATTTGTTCTTTTCTTTGCTCCCTGTTGTCTTCTGGCCATGGGGACCCATCCAACCCTACGCAGTTCAAGTCTTCAATTGTTGAACTATTACGTTGCTTCTAATGGGTTATGGGATCAATTCGTTGGTTCACACCCGTGTTTTCTAGTTTAGGAGACGAATCGGTTAATGATTTTAGAGCCACATATGGTTCTTTGATTAATTCTTTCTATGGTAAGTGCCTCATATTTTCATCCAAACACCGCCTCCGTTGCATCTACTTCCTAGGTTTAATACAGTAAAAGAATTCAGAACATAAAATAGTAAGCTTTGAACCATTTTACACGAGTATTTTCCTACTTACCTCAGGCTCAACAGCATGATCGACGGTTCGATCGATTGTTGCGGCAGAGGCAAATCTCTGTGGCAGAAACTCGTTACAGGCCGAAAGGACCCGATTTAATTTTGCAGCTGTAGATGCTAATGTCGCCAGCGTTTCAAATTATTTTTGCACAATTAAATAACAAGCAAGCACCGTATATATTTTTGCACGTTTGGTTGCCGATGTTGGGAATGGTGATGAGTGACCAAATCTATTTTTATTGTGACTCCCTGTGACTAGATTTGTGTTAACTGTGACCGTATGTCACTTGGCTATATATAGTTACAAATTAGAATAATATGATCACAGACATTCACATAGAAGATAAATTTGTTCATGAACACATAAGGTAACAGTTCATACGTTACAAGTAACAATTCACTGTTAAAGTCACACTTCACTGGTTACAGGTTTGAGTTCACAAATCACAGTCATTTCATATAAGTCACAAATCAATATAAATGGGTCACAGATCAATATCAATAGGTCACATATTGTTTTGTAGAAGTCATAGATCAAATTTATATGTCACGTTTTATGTTACGAGTCACGAGTAACAAATCATATGTTAAAAATAATATTTTATATATCACAATGTACACAGGTTACATGTTGTTGCCCAAAAAAAGAAAAAAAATTCAATTTAATACATTTAATTACAATAATATTTTTTGATTAATTATCTCACAACTAAAATCTTAATAGTATTTGATATTTGAAATTACAAATTTTATTTATTAATTTTGAAATTAATCAATTGCATATTCATCCCACCTGATTAGGTCATAGATTCAATAGAACTGATCACAGATCATAATGTGCACAGGTCACAGATCTAATGCAATCGGTCACAGGTCATTGCCAAAAAAGAAGAGAAAATAAAAAAATGTAGTTGGCGAAAAGGTGCGTGGTCACCGAAACAGTCAAAGAGGTCGTCGGAATGGGATAAGTCGCTGGAATAGTTATCGGAGCTGTCGCCGGGAAGTCGCCGAAAGTCACCGGAGTCGTCATCGGAGAAGCTGCCAAAGTTGTCACCGGAGGTGAGGTTGGATGGAGAGAGAAAGAGAAGGATTTGATGTGATGGGTGGATGGGTTCGGATAAGTAGATTAATTATACTATCTTATAATTAAATATTTAATAAATTTAATTATCACTTTATTTTTGAAAGATTTTTAGAAGTTCGTTAGTTTTGAATTGTGATTTTTAAATGGAGCATTTATGTGGCATTCCCTTATTTTACTCACTTCTGTCAAGGAAAATTCTGATTAAAATCAACACCCCTTCTTTTTTATAAAAATTAAATGCAAACATGGAAAACCTTAAGTGGAAGTGGACATTGTGCGCAATAATTCACTTATGGCAAATCGATTCAAAATGGATGTTTGAAATGGATTTCGGTGTTAGGGGTTCTTTTGAGTGTATTCTAGGTTTGTCAATTTGTAGCTGAAATCACAATGTGAAAAATGAAATGGATTTGAGGTTAGGGCTATGGTTTCTTTCTTTTTCTGTGGTAGTGTTGTTTTGATACGGGTTAACAGAAATACATTTTTTTAATTTAATGTAGGTTAGGGTTTATTTGGATGATTAGGCATCCAAGCGTACAACTTGCTGAACAATTTTAACTGCCATTTCACATTTTCGTCGTCCACGTAGATCCAATAATAGACGAAATTCATTTAGGGTGTGTTTGATTACATTTATTTTCCATGAAAAACATCAGTTTTCAACCCAAATCTCTATTTAAAGTGTTTGATTGCTATTTTTTTCATGGAAAACATTTTCCAACTTTTGAAAATATGTCTAATTTTCCTTGTTTTTAAGAAAAATATTTTCTTTGCGTAGAGGTGATTTTTATTTTCCACAAAAAATGAAAAATATTTTCTTTTCTAAGTGATATTTTTCATTTCAATCAAATATACTCTTAAATGACCATTTTAGTGCAATGGATTTAATTTCAGTGCCCATTGAAGCTTAGTAAAATCTATTACCAATGAAACATTTGACTCCACAAATTTATCGAAATAAAATATTCTATGTGTAAATTTAAAAATTTCCCCTAATTTTTGAAGGCAAATTCTCCTTCAAAATCGATATTCACGACATTATTTTTCCCAAATACCAAAACTCAAACAAGGGCTTAGTGCTAACTATGATTATGCCCCTATTTGATCCCCATTACATTAAATTCTATTACATTTCATTTTTCTCTCTCCTATTTTCAACCACACAATTTTTCATAAAATAATATTATACGTAAATCGAAAATTTTTCATTCTTTTTCAATCGCTAATTTTTCAAAAAAGTACTACTCTCCTCGTTAATTTTCCTAACTAATGGGAATCAAACAGGGGCTATATTTACAGCATTCGTTTAATTCCACGAGCTACAGAAGTAGAAGCTCATCTGCTTCAGATTTTGTGAATTATTAAGTTCGAGAAATGGAGCAGAGACGGCAGGTTTTCTCGGTGGACCTTCTAGAAAGGTACGCTGCTAAGGGGCGGGGAGAAATCACGTGTATGGCCGCCGGGAACGATGTGATTGTGTTGGGTACAAGCAAAGGCTGGGTCATTCGACACGATTTTGGCGTCGGCGATTCTTTTGGTACATATTGATTGCATTTTTCTGTACTATTTATTGTCATTGTGCAAATAATTTGAATATGTTTTTCTTCGTGTGTCCAAAATTTTGTTGGGAGATTTCCAATTGCTAAAGAAATTGAGCATTTTATCGCTTTTTATGTTTGCTTATTGAACAAGTACTAGTCAATTTATTTGTAATTTTTTTTTTTGCTAAATAGGGCAGCGAATTTATTGACCAAACGGTTAACAAATTGGGCTTGGGTGATATACCGATATTAATTGGCCAATAGTTTCATTAGCTGACCTTTTAATGCTACCACTGAACTGATTTGAATTCTGGGTTCATTTTTTATCCAATTGAAGCATTATGAATAGAATTTTAACTTTCCTCTCCGAATTTTATGTTTTGCCTATTTACGGGGTAATTTTTGAATAGATATCGATCTCTCTGCTGGTCGACCTGGGGAACAGTCCATCCACAGAGTTTTTGTGGACCCAGGAGGCAGCCATTGCATTGCTGTGGTAGTCGGCAATGGAACCTCTGACACATTTTACACGCATGCAAAGTGGACCAAGCCTCGTGTATTGAGCAAACTGAAAGGCCTTGTAGTGAATGCTGTTGCCTGGAATAGGCAACATATAGCAGAAGGTGAACTTGAGTGTTGCTTAATGTCTCCATGCTTGATTCGCATTCATATGTCAAAATTTGAGCAAAATAAGTGTATTTGCTATTGTTTTGCAGCTTCCACAAGGGAAGTCATTCTTGGTACTGACAATGGCCAACTTCATGAAATTGCTGTCGACGAGAAGGACAAGAAGGAAAAGTACATTAAGTTTTTATTTGAACTCAGTGAACTCTCTGAAGCTTTTACGGGTTTGCAGGTTCCAAGCACCTTTTCCTTTTGTTTTACCTTGTTGTCCCACTTCTTTTAACCTATTTAAACAAACTATTTGAAGTGTTGACAGTTACTTGTAGATGTGAGCTAAGAGTTAATCAAAACTGTGCTAAATTAAGAAATAGGCATGTCATTGGACATATGCCAATCCATAATAATTATTTATGCACATTCTTGTAAAGCTTGGGAATTCTTTTGAAATCCACAATTTTCTAATCTGAAAATCAACATCATCCTGGAAAACTCTGCTGATGTAACGAAGATTTTTGCCGCCCTTAAATCACTTGCATTTTTGAACCAATGCTGGGTTTCACTAAATGAAATGTTAAGAGTTTATCTTCAGGATGTGCAGTATATTATATTGGTTGGTTTTGGGTATAGGTTAGCGTGGGGAAACTGTCAGGAAAATCTGTTTGTTCTGCGGTTCTGGGAAATTTGGAGGGGAAAGCATGAGAGGAATTTTCAAGATTGATTCATACCAAGAGATATTGTCAGTGATTGGACTTCTCACAAAAAATGAAAAATATTTTCTTTTCTAAGTGATATTTTTCATTTCAATCAAATATACTCTTAAAGGACCATTTTAGTGCAACGGATTTAATTTCAGTGCCCATTGAAGCTTAGTAAAATCTATTACCAATGAAACATTTGACTCCACAAATTTATCGAAATAAAATATTCTATGTGTAAATTTAAAAATTTCCCCTAATTTTTGAAGGCAAATTCTCCTTCAAAATCGATATTCACGACATTATTTTTCCCAAATACCAAAACTCAAACAAGGGCTTAGTGCTAACTATGATTATGCCCCTATTTGATCCCCATTACATTAAATTCTATTACATTTCATTTTTCTCTCTCCTATTTTCAACCACACAATCTTTCATAAAATAATATTATACGTAAATCGAAAATTTTTCATTCTTTTTCAATCGCTAATTTTTCAAAAAAGTACTACTCTCCTCGTTAATTTTCCTAACTAATGGGAATCAAACAGGGGCTATATTTACAGCATTCGTTTAATTCCACGAGCTACAGAAGTAGAAGCTCATCTGCTTCAGATTTTGTGAATTATTAAGTTCGAGAAATGGAGCAGAGACGGCAGGTTTTCTCGGTGGACCTTCTAGAAAGGTACGCTGCTAAGGGGCGGGGAGAAATCACGTGTATGGCCGCCGGGAACGATGTGATTGTGTTGGGTACAAGCAAAGGCTGGATCATTCGACACGATTTTGGCGTCGGCGATTCTTTTGGTACATATTGATTGCATTTTTCTGTACTATTTATTGTCATTGTGCAAATAATTTGAATATGTTTTTCTTCGTGTGTCCAAAATTTTGTTGGGAGATTTCCAATTGCTAAAGAAATTGAGCATTTTATCGCTTTTTATGTTTGCTTATTGAACAAGTACTAGTCAATTTATTTGTAATTTTTTTTTTTGCTAAATAGGGCAGCGAATTTATTGACCAAACGGTTAACAAATTGGGCTTGGGTGATATACCGATATTAATTGGCCAATAGTTTCATTAGCTGACCTTTTAATGCTACCACTGAACTGATTTGAATTCTGGGTTCATTTTTTATCCAATTGAAGCATTATGAATAGAATTTTAACTTTCCTCTCCGAATTTTATGTTTTGCCTATTTACGGGGTAATTTTTGAATAGATATCGATCTCTCTGCTGGTCGACCTGGGGAACAGTCCATCCACAGAGTTTTTGTGGACCCAGGAGGCAGCCATTGCATTGCTGTGGTAGTCGGCAATGGAACCTCTGACACATTTTACACGCATGCAAAGTGGACCAAGCCTCGTGTATTGAGCAAACTGAAAGGCCTTGTAGTGAATGCTGTTGCCTGGAATAGGCAACATATAGCAGAAGGTGAACTTGAGTGTTGCTTAATGTCTCCATGCTTGATTCGCATTCATATGTCAAAATTTGAGCAAAATAAGTGTATTTGCTATTGTTTTGCAGCTTCCACAAGGGAAGTCATTCTTGGTACTGACAATGGCCAACTTCATGAAATTGCTGTCGACGAGAAGGACAAGAAGGAAAAGTACATTAAGTTTTTATTTGAACTCAGTGAACTCTCTGAAGCTTTTACGGGTTTGCAGGTTCCAAGCACCTTTTCCTTTTGTTTTACCTTGTTGTCCCACTTCTTTTAACCTATTTAAACAAACTATTTGAAGTGTTGACAGTTACTTGTAGATGTGAGCTAAGAGTTAATCAAAACTGTGCTAAATTAAGAAATAGGCATGTCATTGGACATATGCCAATCCATAATAATTATTTATGCACATTCTTGTAAAGCTTGGGAATTCTTTTGAAATCCACAATTTTCTAATCTGAAAATCAACATCATCCTGGAAAACTCTGCTGATGTAACGAAGATTTTTGCCGCCCTTAAATCACTTGCATTTTTGAACCAATGCTGGGTTTCACTAAATGAAATGTTAAGAGTTTATCTTCAGGATGTGCAGTATATTATATTGGTTGGTTTTGGGTATAGGTTAGCGTGGGGAAACTGTCAGGAAAATCTGTTTGTTCTGCGGTTCTGGGAAATTTGGAGGGGAAAGCATGAGAGGAATTTTCAAGATTGATTCATACCAAGAGATATTGTCAGTGATTGGACTTCTTTCTCTTTTTCATTTTGTATTGGCTTTTGGTTCGAGTACCATGAGGATTTTCTGTTGATGAACATGTAGTGAGATCATGTCGCAAAATTGTTGTAGTATTTGCTTCTTTTAAGAGAACTTTTTAATCCTCTATATGTACAAGTCTACATAGATATTAGATATTTTGTCCTCAAGATTAAAGCCACATGACAGCCTTCTAACTTTGTGTGTTTTGCAGATGGAAACAGCAAGCATAAACAATGGAACTCGTTATTATGTAATGGCTGTTACTCCCACCCGTCTTTATTCTTTTACCGGAATAGGCTCTCTGGATGTAAGTTTTTTACCAGTATCTAGTTAAAAATCCTTATGCACTTGGTTAGTGTATTAGATTAATCATAACCTCAGAATATTTAATATGTGTTTTTTTCTAAGGAATTATTCCTTCAACCCTGAGGGTAGCTCAGTGGTCAGGCCTTGGGTTTGCTCCCCAATGGTCATCAGTTCGAGTTTCTTCAGAGCCATTGAGGAGAGTACATAGTTGTAAACTTCAGGGTCCTGTGTGATTAGTTGAGGTGCGTGTAAGTTGGTTCAGACACTCATGGTCATTAAAAAAAAAAAAAAAAAAAGAATTATTCCTTCCACTTTCTTTGCACCTAGTACTTGTCCTGATGCTTTGAGGATGCACTGTATGAGGTTCTGATTAGCCTGTAATATTCTGCATTAATTATAACTTTTAGATGTGTTAAAGTTTTGCTGGCATCTCTAGAGTTTTATATTTGCATGGAACTTAGCTGTAATTATCACACATATTTTCCTTCAGAGATTGAAAATAGCTACACAGCAAATTTTTTGTTCCTTCTGTGTCAAATGTTTAATCATTTCTCTATTCTTTTAGCTACATGATATTCACTTTTGTAGCATAAGCCATTTCTTCTTCAGCATGAAAATGACTAACAATTCTTAATTTAGTTTGCTTGTAATGTTTTATGTCCGAGCGCTCGTATAGTTTATCTCATGTAAATAGTAAAATATGTCCACAATGGCAATCAAGTAGCTCTTGAGTATTTGTTTCGGACAACAAGTATCTGATCACATTCATCTTATTTTAACTCTCTAAGCCTCCTTTTCTTCAAAGCTGAGTATACATAATCTAGTTCTTGAGTTTTGGAACTTGGGTTCAGGGGAGAGTAGAAGTGTAATTGCTGATTGAGCCATATTCTAGTATTTTTTTTGAGTTATCCACCTGTGATTTCTTTGTACGACAATATCATCCATACTCTTAATCCTATTGTATTTTAATATAGAAGGTCTCTCTCCCCCACCCCCTCTCCCTCTATATTTCCAAACTTTTCATGGTGTCTAATTTTTCTTCCCCAGTCCTCACTTATATGATAAACTTTCTTAAAAGCCTTAGGCAATTTTTCCTATCAATAATGGCCGTTTATATTGAATGGTTTTTGACTTGTACTTTTTATGCAGTCTGTTTTTGCTAGTTATGTGGGCCGTGCAGTTCATTTTATGGAACTTCCTGGTGAAATTCCCAACAGGTAGTAAGAAAAGGATTGGGCGGTTCAGGGATTTCAGATTTTTAGGCAAGAATTGGGTTGTGCACTTATGAGTAACAAAGATGATGTTTGGTATATCCTTCTTGCAGTGAACTGCATTTCTTTATAAAGCAAAGAAGAGCAATACATTTTGCATGGCTATCTGGGGCAGGAATCTATCATGGTGGTCTTAATTTTGGAGCACAACGCAGGTGGATAATTAGAAGCCTGATTTCTACTACTTTCTCATGATTTAATTTTGTCACTAAGATTTTGGGGAACTGCATGGCAGTTCACCAAATGGGGATGAAAACTTTGTGGAGAACAAGGCTCTTTTGGACTATTCAAAACTAGGCGAAGGAGCTTCTGTTAAACCAAGTTCCCTGGCAGTATCTGAGTTTCATTTTCTTCTTCTTGTCAGAAACAAGGTTAAGGTGTGTAACCAGAACTCTTGTTGCTGCTTCCTTACCTAGTGATTTGAAGATCCATAAATACTTAATACCTGTTAAAAGTAGTACACCCACAACGGGCTGAGCTCACAACTGAGTTTCTGCTAAGATTAAGCTTGTTAAGTAGTACCAGTGGGGAGTCTATGAATGATAAGATAGATTAAATATTTTGGAAAAGTAAATTTACCGAGTTCTGTGGGTTTGCTAGTTGGTATTCCAGTCCTTCATGTTCCCCCCTTCATCTTTTCCATGTAGTGAACTTCAGGCGCAAATGCTATTAACCAGCTTTTAATTTGCATCTTCTTGCATCTTTAAAATTTGTAGCCTTCCAGACTATAAATTGCGTCCTGATGCGAATTAAATATTTATAACAAGATCAATTTCACCACTGTCTGTGGTATGTCATATACCCTTCTCAAAGATGTTACCACCGTACGTTTGTGCATGCTTAATATAATCCACCTAGTTTTGGATATTTCTTTATTCGAGAATCTTATAGAATGATTAGTTATTGGAAATCGATGTTTGTCCAAGAATGTATCTCCCAAAGGACATTCTCGCAGATATATACTGCAAAAGCTTTGGCTAACAGGACTATACCTTTTCTTCTGTAGCCGCTGGTAACAACTTCGCTTGCTATTTCTACAGATTCAAAGTGAAGCCTGAGTTTCGTTTGAGCTTGATTAAGAGCTGAAATCATTTTGTCACTTGGACACCCCTTCAAGCATTTGTGCTTTCTGATTTTAGAAGCTAAGCCAGCAGTATGCTATTGGCTTAATTGAAACTGGCTCTTTATTCGTTTAGCTTGGGCATTTTGAGACTTGGATAGGAAACCTACCTCTTTTAGACCTTGTTTGGCAACAAGTGTTTAAATTATGAACATATTTGGTCAAACCACTTTTAATCCACACATTAAGTACTACCCACATATCCACTACTCATTTCTATCTATTTATAATTTAAGTTGATTATAAACAATTCCTAAAAATGTGTTTAATGTATTCAAAAATCCACATAGACAGTTCATTGTTTCCCCATGTTGTGTATATTTGATGTGATTTGTGATAGTGAAAAAGGTTAATAATGCCTTTTTTCCTCTACCTAATAAGTTATTGCCATTTTTACAATATTTTGTAGGTTGTGAATAGGATAAGTGAGCTGATAGTTGAGGAACTTTATTTTGATCAAACACCTGATGCCGCTTCAAGGAGCGTTATAGGTTTGTGCAGTGATGCGTCTGCTGGGCTTTTCTATGCATATGACCAAAGTTCCATCTTCCAGGTCCAAATTTCTGGCATTATCCTTGATATCTGCTTGTCATGGTTCTATTGGGCATTAATTTACTGACTTGAAAGTGTTAATTTAGGTGTCCGTGAATGATGAAGGCCGAGATATGTGGAAAGTCTATTTGGACTTAAAAGAATATGCTGCAGCTTTGTCAAACTGTCGTGACACCATCCAAAGAGACCAAGTTTATCTCGTGCAGGTTAGCTTTCATATTTTTGCTAATAATGTTGTTTATGCTGATTTCTGTAAAAAGTTGCTTTGTCCTCGTCCTCTTTAATTCCATGAACCGTTGCCCTTGATTAATGTTAATTTCAGTTATGGGTTCTTGCATTTATGATTTATGACCCGAGATAATGTAATACAGGCTGAAGATGCTTTCAATACAAAGGATTTTGTCAGAGCAGCTTCCTTTTATGCGAAGGTGATTTTATCCTTTACTCACTTACTTATTCCTTGAACTAATCTTTCTAAAATGTGTCTTTTAGACAATTACTATGGCCCTGTTTGAGCTGCATTCTTTTAAAAAAATACATTTTTAAACGGTGATTTGACATCATTTCAATCACACATTCTTCTATAAAATAATATAATATTAAACGTAAATCCAAAATTTTTCCTCATTTTTTAACCATACATTCTCCATTAATCTACCATTCCAAAGTACATTATTTAAAATAATGTGGCTCAAACACACACTATATGCTGTATGACCACCTTTAGCATCACAGACTTGCATAAATATTTAGGGTTCCTTTACTCTTTTAGGACATTGATGCTGGTTGGCAAGAATGCCATCTACTTCAGGAGAGAATATAATTTCTGTTTCATTTTGACTGTAGTTTACCTGATAATACTGTACAAAGACTATGATAGTGATTGGCTCTTTTCATCCCTTATTCTCTCCGGTGTCCTCCAGACTATAACTAGACTTTCTAAATAGTCAAAAGAAGTCCAGTTGCAAAAAAAAAAAAAAAAAAAAACACCGTCTTGAGAAAATGTCATTTTCTTAATGATACACGATGTATTTTTCTATCAGAAAGCACTGGCGTTCTGCTTTCCTTCCTCTCTTGCTGTCTAATACATATTTTTCATCTTTAGAAGCAAGAACATCACATTTACCAATAGACTTGTTGACGTAGGATGCAATAGAACAATAATAAGAGAAGGGGAAAGGGAAAGGAAGAAGAGAAAGGAGAGGGAAAAGAGAAGAAGAGGTGGGAGATAGAAGGAGAGTTATAGAAAGGGGAGAGGAAATTGACAGATGGAAGAGAGAATTTAGGGAGAGAGAGTATCTTTATTTCATTATCAAAGTTGTTGTGTATTACAAAGCAAAATCCCCTTTTATATCGGGTTTAAACTAGTAGTAGGAAAACACTATAAAATCTATGAAATCAAACAATAATTATGTTTCTTCGAATAATTATCAAAGTTGGAAACTAAATTAAATAATGACTCTATAAGATTCCCATCACTTGCATTGCAGAATTGGTCACTCCCTACCCCATTACGGTCTAGCATGATTTTTACCAAAAGCCAAATTACTACCAGCCCTCAACTGTCATCAATGTTCATCCTCTCCAATCAAACGCGTTATGTATGTCATAATTCATAAGGCTGCCATTTCAGAGCTGCTGTAATTCCTATATTGCGTAAAGCTTGAACAAGTTCCTTCAAGAATACTTGACTCACGACTGCCGAGTAAGCTCATCAAGTCATGAGCACAGGTTGAAAAATGCAATTATCAATGTTATAATTTCACTTTGTTATATTAAAATAATTGATGACATCACCAGTATGCCCGAGTATTCTTTATAACAACAGAAACAGGACTTAGATGCAAAATGATGAATTCGTTTGAACATGGTTTAGGCAAACTTGTCCCCTCTGAGGTACAGAACCCATACGCTGAAATAGTAATTATAAAGAAACACTAATTGCTCAAAAAGGTGGGAGTTTCCCTTTTGGTGAACTGGTTGATGGTAAGATAACCTCAAGAAAGAGCATTCTATTGTTTAAACTTAATATGCCTTGAAATTTTTCATTACCTGATATATATTGCTTCTATGTGAAGTGAAAACTCTGGTTAAGTAAATGTAAGGACACCACATTACAAAAGAGTTGCATAGAAGGAACTGTTTACTTGAGCATCGATGCTCTTGGAAAGATATTTCTTTTGTTCTCTATTTTCTTTCCATTTCATTATTCCTGTTTGTATTGCTGCTTAAAAAGTACCATTCTATTGGAAGGTGGAGAGGGAACAAAGTAATCTAGTTAGTACTTATTACTTGGCAGAAAAGGACATTCTTGTAACACAATGAATACTTTTTGCAGATTAACTATGTATTATCATTTGAAGAGATCACTTTGAAGTTTATCAGCATAGGCGAACAGGTAACAACAGTTTTTCCTCCGATATTTTTGGACTAATTATTAGCAGTTTCATTGTGGTCAGGTACTGAGAGAAAATATAAATTCTGCTATTTTGGCAGTTTTTCAAGTAGTCACCCATCCATGTCATAATTATTTGTGAATGATGTTTTCCAATTACTGTTTTTTTCCAACTTCTCGTTTTTCACCCTTCATGCTAATATTATAGAAGAGTCAGCCAAAACTTAACCATTTGAATATAGTGGGAATTGATGTTCTTCTCCTATGCTTTATTTACTTTTGCTCATGATAAAATTTGTCTGTGATCAAGTACCTTTAATCAAGTATTGTTCCTGTGCTGTTGTCATCACGCCTACTTTCTTCTACTTAGATAATCCTTGTTCCATCAATTCAATGCCGTTCCGTGTACTGAGATTATAGAGCTGGTTAAATTGCTTTCTCTATGCCTCTTTGAATCCTGAGAATTGAACCTATTAGTCTGTTTTTAAGATTTTCTGTAAGAGGGCTCTCTGCATTATTGTATCCAATTTAGATTATGTTGTTGCCATTTATTTGTTCTGGAGGTGATATTTTGCTAAATTACACGAGCTTTAACATTCTACTTCACATGCACGCAACCCAGAATTCCACACAAGAATTAAAAGAACTGTGTGCAACAATGAAATGGCCAAGACACACGTGCAACTTTGGCAAAACTATTGACAAGAAGCAATCACTTAGCGAGTGTGTGATAATTGCGTACGATATGTAATGCATCAATTGCTTATTAGATTAACTAACTCCGGTATACTCATAGCTTTGAATTGAAGCATGGCAACGTAAATTATTGAGATCAACCAAAATTGAAGCGAAAATAATGAATTTCTTCATCAAACTGTAAAAGTAGCTTGTCAATCTGAGGAGAGAGATTATCTCCAAGAAATTATTTTTGCAGCTGCATTGAATCACATCATGTGTTCTGAACCAGTTTGATGGCTTTCCGCTGTGCTCATTATTTGTCTCGAGTGTTGAACTTCTAGTCTCTGGTGTAGAACACACAAGCTGATGTGCATACTGTAGTAATTCTATCTTGATTTCTTCCAAATGTTGCATGTGACTTTTATTTCATTCTCTAATTGGATTGAAACTCCATGCTTCCTTTTCCTGAACTTTCTGCTTGTTTATTTGCTTGGAGTTGAATATATTGAGTTGATTATTTATATTATTGTAAACTTTTGATGTTTTCTATGCTCCTTCTCATGTTCACCATGATGAGCTTAATTTTCTCCATATGATATAAACTTAAAATTCTGCTACTTATTGGATCTACAGATACAGTCTTGCTTTATTCACGCGAATCCCAGTGTAAATGTATCAAACATGTGATTAATGGAACTATCCTTGATGACCCTAAGATAACAATCCAGCTGTCTTTTCTAATGTTTTCACAAACATGCAGGATGCTTTAAAAACCTTCTTGTTACGGAAGCTTGATAATCTTGCGAAGGATGACAAATGCCAGATCACAATGATTTCCACTTGGGCAACTGAGTTATACTTAGATAAGGTGTGGATGTTGCATATTTTTCTTGGACTAACAACTTCATTTCTCTTTGTAATTAGGAGAGGAAAAAAATAATTTCTCATACTTACATTAAGAGACAGTACATAGATATATACATACAACAGGAACTCTAGATTAGGAAGGATCCTAATTAGGGATTTCTATAATTAAAGTAAAATATATTTCACAATCAGTATATTCTATAACACTCTTCCTTGAGCTAGAGCATAGATATTAATCATGTCCAGCTTGTTACAAATATAATCTACCCAAATCCCATTTAATGCCTTTGTGAAAATATCTCCTAGTTGTTTTCTAGTTTTCCCATATTATGTAGAGATTAAATTCTGTTGCACCTTTTCACGAACGAAATGACAGCCAATCTTAAAATGCTTAGTTCGTTCATGGAATACAGGATTAGAAGCAATATGAAGAGCAGCTTGATTATCACACCACAACTTTGTTGGTATTGAAACTTTAATGCTAACTTCAATTAAGAGTTGATATATCCATACTATCTCACATTGATTGTGCCATAGCTCTATATTTTGATTCTGCACTGGATCAGGACACAACATTTTGTTTCTTACTTTTTCACAAGACCAAATTTCCTCTAACAAAAACACAATAGCCGGTAGTTAATCTTCAGTCAATCTTTGAACTTGCCTAATCTGTATCTGAGAAGCATTCGATGTGGGTATGTCCATGATTTCTGTACGGTATCCCAATATCAAGACGAGTTACTATAAGATAGTTGAATTTTCTAACCAGTCTTCTATACTTCTCAGGATCTTCAAATAGGTCACCATCTTTGGTAAGTTGCAAATTAGGAAGCATTGGAGCGCTACTTGGCTTAGCTCCCAATTTTCCCGTCTCAGTTAATAAGTCTAGTACATATTTTCTTTGAGATAAAATGATACATTTCTTGCTTCTTGTCACCTCAACTCCCAAGAAATATTTCAACACCCCTAAGTCTTTTGTGTGAAGTTAAGTGTGAAGAAAGGACTTCAGAGATGAAATTCCCATAGTATCACTGCCAGTAATAACAATATCATCAACATACACAACAAAAGGAATAATGCCGGATTCAGACTGTTTGTAGAAAATTGAGTGATCAGACTTGCTCTTTGCATTCCAAACTTTTCCGCTGCCTGATTGAATTTCCAAACCACGCACATGGACTCTGTTTCAAATCATATAAGGATCTTCGAAGGTGACATTTTTCACATTCCCCTTGAGCAACAAACTCAGGTGGTTGCTTCATATAAACTTCCTTCTGGAGATCGCCACGTAAGAAAGCATTTTTGATGTCAAATTGATGTAAGAGCCAATTATGTGTAGTTGCCATAGAAATGAACAATCGAACAGACGTTAATTTAGCGATAGGGGAGAGTGTCAAAGCAATCCATACTATAAGTCTAGGCATCCACAAGACGATCTTTAAGTCTAGCCATTGATCCATCATGATTTACTTTGACTGCAAACACCTCCGGACATCCAATAGCCCTTTTTCCCTGCAGGTAAATTTACTAAATCCCAAGTACCATTAGCGTCTAAACCGTTAATCTCCTCTACCATAGCATTACGCCAACCAGTATGGGATAAGACTTCCTAAACAGTTTTCGGAAGGGTCACAAAGTCTACGGAGGCAACAAATGAGCAAGAAGAAGAGGACAAGTGATCATAAGAAAAAAGGATAAAATGAGATAAGTGCATTGATGTTTACCTTTACGAAGAGCGATAGGTAGATCAAGATCGTTGGACACTGGATCCGATGTCGAAGAAGGTTTAGGTGCTGAACATGCATTAGGAGGGTCTCGTCTTCTGGAATAGACCTGACCAATAAGTGGGGTGGTATGGTAGCAACAGTTGTATGAGTAACATTAGTTGATTGATATGTGGCATGATAAACCAACAGATCATCATCATTCCCCTTATTAAAAGAAGTGTAAGTTGTGGGGAAGAAAGGAATATGTTTCAGAAATAACATCAGTTGACACAAGATACTTGTTAAGATTTGGACAGTAGCGTCGATAACCCTTTTGGAGATGAGAGTAACCCGGAAAAAATATTTTAAGGATTTGGGATCTAATTTAGTTATCTGGGGACGAACATCACGAGTATAACAGGTACTACCAAATATCCTTGGTTCAATAGAAAACAAGGGTTTAGTGGGAAAAATGACACTATAAGGAGCCTTACTATGAAGAACAGATGACGGCATTCGATTAATCAAAAACCAGGCTGTGGAGACTACATCAGCCTAGAATTGTTTATGAACATGCATTTGGAACAAGAGTGCCCAAGCTGTCTCAAGAAAGTGTCCATTTTTTCTTTCAGCCACACCATTTTGAGAAGGGGTTGTCAACGCATGAGGATTGATGAAGAATACCATTTTGAAGCTTATAAGTCTGAAGGGAATTGAAAAAATATTCTTTGGCATTATCACTTCTCAATGTATGCGTAGAAAAATTAAACCGTGTTTTAATTTCAGCACAGAAGGCACTAAAATGAGAAAACAATTCAGAAAGATTCTTCATTAAATAAAGTCAAGTCACACTAGAAAAGTCGTCAACAAAAGTAATAAAATATCGAAATTCAGTTTTGGACACAATAGGGCAAGGGCCCCAAACATTGGAATGAACTAACTTAAAACGAGAACTAGCTCTTTTATTGACTCGAGGGACTGAGGACAGACAATGATGTACTCACAATTTAAAGATGACACATTCTGAAATTGAGGACATAATTTCTTCAACAAAGGTAGAGATGGATGTCCTAACCGACAATGTGCTGCAAAGGGAGTTAAGATACCGGAACATGCAATAGACTTAGGCACCTGGGTATCCACAGTATAGAGACCGCCTGATTCATGTTCTTTACCAATAATCTTCTTTGTCATAAGATCCTGAAAAAGACAGTAATTAGGAAAAAGTGAGACACAGAAGTTTAACGTTCGCGTAAGTTTTCTCACAAACATCAAATTAAAAGAAAGTCGTGGTAAACTTAAGACAGAGTATAAGGGAATTAATGGAGTTGGATTAATACTTCCAGAACCGAAAACAGAAGAAGTAGAACCATCTGCTAAAGTAACATTGAAAGGAGATGCATGTGATTGAAAAGTAGAGAAGAGACTACGAGTACTTGTCATATGATCTATGATACCAGAATCAGTGATCCATTTTGAGGAAGAAGAGAGGAGACATGTATTAGGTTTACCTGTCTCAGCAATGGCAGATGTAGAGTGAGATGAGGTTTTCAATGCTTCTTGGTACCGAGTGAATTTGGCAAATTCATCTGTAGAAATTGTAATGGTTTGCTTAAAGGACGAGATGGTTGTAACAGAAGCAGCTGCAATATGAGCTAAGTGAGACTTCATAGATTTAGTGTGCAATTTTCGACAAGAGTATTTGGTATGACCCGGCTGATGACAGTAGTAGTAGACAACTCCATTATGATTTCGATTGACTCGACTACTTGTACCCCCCGCCTGTTGTGTTACTTCTGCTACTGCGATTGATAAGAGTAATAGAAAGCCGAAGAAATGAAGCAACAGAAGCACTGAAATTTATACGAAGTGCTCTAGTAAAAGTTTCTTGCAGAGATGGAATCTCAACATTGGAGAGAACCTAGGATTTAGCAGTTTCAAACTGAGAATTAAGGCCAGCTAGAAAACTCATCATAGCCATTTGCTTCCGTTGAGCTTGCTGAACTTTCACATCTGCACTAAAAGGTAATAAGACATTCAATTCTTTATAAGTCTTTTTCAAATTCATCAAACAAGCTTGAAGAGATTGATCGTGTTTGACACGGTAAAAACCTTTACAGATTTCATAAATACGTGATGCGTTTCCTTTTCCAGAGTATATAAATTCTAAATATTCCATTAATTCCTTAACATTCTCACAGTGATTAATTGGGCTGACTATTTTCGCGTCAATGGAATTACGGATTTGTAAGAATAATCGGGCATCATCTCTTAGCCATGTCTGGCGAGTATTATCCGTTGGTGGATTTTCGGTAAGGTGATTGTCCATATAAATACTCCGCAAATAAACTCAAACTGTCTTACTCCAATCAAAAAAATTTGGACCTATTAACTTATGTTCCGTAATTTTGGACATTACTGGAATGACATCAGTCATAACTAAATTCTTTTGTTTCTCAGCCATAGACAGCAACCACAAGATCCAAGTAACAAATCAAAGAGGTAGCTCAAAAGACACTATCCCAAGTCCAACAAATAATAGCCCAAAATAATAGACCCAAATCGCAAATTAATTGGACAATTTAATTAAATTACAGCCCAATTAAATTAGTCTAACAACTTACGGAAGCCAAAAGAAAGCAGCCCAACAACTAAAGTCCAAACAAAATGATATATCCCAGTAAAAGAAATCCAAACCAAAGCCCAACAAAGCCCACAAACAATTCTGACAACTCAGAAGAGATGGTACATATATAGACATACAACAGGAACTCTAAATTAGGAAGGATCCTATTTAGGGATTCCTATAATTAAGGTAAAATATATTTCACAATCGGTATATTCTATAACACTCTTAATCCTGTCCCCATCGAGTAAATTGGTATTTGGTACCATAAATTGTTGAATTTTTGGTTAGTTGCTCTACCTCTTATGCAAAATATTCCACCTCTTATGCAAAATATTCCACTGTTGGTATGTAGTAAAATTCAAGTTTCTTGACAAGGATGCGATAATTTGTTCTCTGTCAAGGCTACTTCTTGAGAATCTAAGAGCTTCCATCATAAGTCTTTTAAATTGCAGATATGGTAATGAACTTGAGATTTTGATGCTGCTTATACATAGCCTTGGCTGCCAAACCTTCAATTGTCACTTCTGTGGCATAGCACACTTTTCTGCTAGTTCAAGGGAATATAGTGGATTCCGAGAATTTGAGTCTAATTGTGAATAAGAAGAATGGAGAAAAAGAAATCCTTGCATTTACTTGACCAGGATTAGCTATTATATCATTGCCAAGACTGAATCCTTGTTTTATAAAATATTCTATATTTGTTGCATTTTTACTGACATCTTGGATGAATGATGAACATACGGAACAAAATTTGCTTTCTGGTGGATAGGAATAATAAAATCCAAGAAAACCAGGACCTAATTGTGGAGGTGGTCATCCGCGGGCACCAAGGAGACTAGTTTATTGTCAATGTTGGCCGCATTGATGTGCAGGATATTGTATATATGTCTGCCTGATGAAATTTCTGATAGGAAATTTGGCATCTGTTACTGGCTTTCCAATTTCTCTCACTTCTACTAATGAGTCTATGTGCATGAAGAATTCGTATATAGCCATTTATTTTCCATGTTCTGTTATCAGATGAATCGGCTACTTTTGGAAGACGATACTGCATCTGAGAATAGTAGTTCAGAGTACCAATCGATTATTAAGGAGTTTTGCGCCTTTTTGAGTGACAGCAAGGATGTATTGGATGAGGCAACAACCATTAAGCTGCTAGAAAGGTTATTCCTGTTGTAGTTAGTTTTGTCTTATTTTAGCTTCTTACATATTTCTCTTGAAATGTAAATCATGGATAAGAGGAAATTTAATAATTTGTTAAAAGTTGCTTAGCCTCTAATGCTTCCCAACTTTGTGTGGATAAGACTTGTCTATAAAACAAAACTTTATTTTTGACACATTTCTAAATTTTACGTTTACGTTTTTATGTCAGAAGTCACATTTTAGATTCCTTGGAAATACGCTGACCAAAAGATCTCTGTATTTAAACATGTTTATTATGATTTCTTGCAGCTATGGTAGGGTTGATGAATTGGTATTCTTTGCTAGTCTTAAGGAGCAACATGAGATTGTGGTCCATCATTATATTCAGGTGCTTCTTTTTCCCCCCACTTTCTTCTAATGCCATCATAATTCTAAATCTTTCAACTGCTGTTTTCTTTATTTCTTGATCATATGCTTCTTCATGTGCCCGGCATAGTTATCATTGATTGATTTATTGCATCCTCTAGTGCCAATATATTCATTTTACCTTTCAGCATAATTTATTGCTTCTCCAATGCATGATACTTCAAGACATCATTTATTTAGCCACAGTTATTCTTTAGTAATTTAAGTCAATACGATTTTGCTGACTTTTTATTTTGTAAATAGCTGGGAGAAGCAAAGAAAGCACTGCAAGTTCTTCAGAAACTTAATGTTCCCATAGACCTTCAGGTATGGGCTAATGGAAAATTTACTTCCAAACTATTTTCCATCAGCACTCTGCACTACAAGTACTGTAACCTCCTTCCCATGATGTCTTTGCTTGAGCTGGTTCATTATGTATGCTAGTAGGCTCTCTCCAGAATCTGTATATTATTATTGAAAGATGATTAGTTCATCCTATTTTGCAGTACAAGTATGCCCCAGACCTTATCATGCTTGATGCATATGAAACTGTAGAATCATGGATGATTAGGAAAGACCTGAATCCAAGGAAGCTCATTCCTGCAATGATGCGTTATTCAAGTGAATCGCATTCAAAGTAACTTTTATCTCTACTTAGTTTATTTTGCTTTCTTTTTCTTTGATAATGGGATAGACCATATACTCTTGCTGTTGCATTGATGATTGGAAGTCTAAAACTCTTCACACTTATATTGCATTGGTTAGTGTAAGAAAATTGAGGACTCTCTGCAATTATACTTGCGTTAGCTTTAGGACAAGTCCTTCACTTAGGCTGACTTCTAGTTTTCAACTCAAAAATTTCACTGCAGCTGTATCTTTCTCATATCGAGATCTTAAACTAGTATTGTTGATATGTTGCTTGTTGTCAGAACTCTCGATGAATAACATAAATGTACAAAGGACCAAGACCAGTATAATTAGTACTGCTGCAGATCTGATATCAAATAAAATTAGTTTCAATAAAATGACAATTAAAAGGTCTGGAGAAAAGTAATGCAAGTAAAATAAATTTTTGGACTGAAAATACTGAAGGACTAAGATTTCCATAGATACAACCCTTTTACCTTCTGTCTTAATGGGCTTGGTTTGAATGTGCCGTAAAAATAGGATTAATGGGTTTGATCTTTTGCTTTATTGAGTTAGTTTGAGCAGCATTGAGTTGATTATAAGCAAGTAAAGTTCATTCTTTACTTGACTAGGAAATAGTATACGTTATACCATCAGATATTATCCACTATTAATTCGAATCTTTTGGTGGAATTATTATTAATTTTTTTATTTTTGATCAATTGATGAATGTTTATTCTGCCAAATTTTCAGAAATGAAACTCATGAAGTAATAAAATATCTGGAGTATTGTGTTCATCGTTTGCAGAATGAGGATCCTAGTGTTCACAATTTGTTGCTCTCATTGTATGCCAAGCAGGTTTGTTTTGCTCAGTATACTTTCTGCATGTCTTGTTAACCACGTAATCATGCGTTTTCTTTCTCTACCATCTTTTTGTTATTATAGATGTTAAAATCATCCTCAAAATTTTTTCACTGGGAATTTCCATATTTTCTCTGAGAAACTTCACAGTATAGTGATCTGATGTAATTTCCATTTCTTTTCCTCAAACTAAAGGCACCTAGAGTCCTTGTCAATCATAACTTTAAGTAAGGACGTATTTGAAAATGAAATAAATATTTTGATAAGGTTCATTCTGTGTGGGCGTTCCATTAAGTAAATGAGGACATATTTTCCTATACATTATCTTAATAAACATTTTTTGTGCTCTAATTGTGGCATAAAAGTTTTTCATGATTTGTTGATATAGTAAATGCAACCAATAGAAACCATTCATCCGCATTGAACCATATTCCAAACTCTTGATGCATTCATTCACAAAAAGAAAATAATATAGAGATCATAGTTCCACCTCTTTTTTTCAATGTTCATGTCCCTATTCATTTCTTAGGAGGATGAGAGTGCTCTTCTGCGTTTTCTGCAATGCAAGTTTGGAAAAGGGCGGCCCAATGGTCCTGAATTCTTCTACGATCCAAAATATGCATTGCGCCTTTGTCTCAAGGAAAAACGGATGCGCGCCTGTGTCCATATATACAGCATGATGTCTATGCATGAAGAAGCAGTTGCCCTGGCTTTGCAGGTAAGAGCTTCAAATTGACAGGTATTCAGTCACTGGACTTGAATTACCTACAAACAATAATTTGAACATGTTGACAATGCTATTTATGTTAAAAGGGTCAACTCTCCTGTTCAATATTTATAGAGATAAAGTTCGTAATGCACTAAAATTTTTATATTTGCATGCACACAAGCTGACTTACACAGGTGGTGGCAGTATGTAACAGATTATTTCTAGAATTCTCTCTTTATTCTCCTATGGTTGACTGTTTATGACGAGCTTTCATATCATATCAGGGTTCACTCCAGAATTTGTTAAGATGTCAAACATCCATTTTGTCGTTCACGTGTTCACGTATTTGTATTCAATGCACACACACATATTCAAGTGTCCAGAAATTTCATCCAATGCAATAGGTCGATCCAGAGCTTGCTATGGCTGAAGCTGATAAGGTTGAAGATGATGAAGATTTGCGGAAAAAACTTTGGCTTATGATTGCCAAGCATGTCATTGGACAGGAGAAGGGAACGAAAAGGGAGAACATCCGAAAGGCAATAGCATTTCTCAAGGAAACTGATGGACTTTTAAAGATTGAAGATATTTTACCCTTTTTCCCAGATTTTGCGTTGATTGATGATTTCAAGGTATGTTTCTTTCTTTTAGTTTTTCTGTTCAGATTCATTACATGATGGTTGTGCATTATTGTGTTCCATCTTTGGTTTGTTTCTTTCATGTGCTGTTTGTAAACATTCTCATCAATGTTATTGGTCCAGCCAGAATCCAACTTCAGAAAGTTTTAGTAACCAGCCTTCATGTCATTCTTATTTTCTATTTGAGGGAGAGTTCATTGCATGGACATCTGATCAACATCTATTTAATTTCTATGGATCATTGTATTTCTTTCGACTGGCTCAAGCATTAGTTATTATCACATCAATATAAATGATGACTTTTATCCTTGCTATGGCTTAGACTAGTTTTCAGTTGTCTCTAGCTTAAATTTCCTCAAATTGTAGGAGGCAATCTGCTCATCATTGGAGGATTACAACGAGCAAATTGAGAAACTCAAAGAGAAGATGAATGATGCTACCCGTGGTGCAGACAACATTAGGAATGATATCAGTGCACTTGCACAACGATATGCTATCATCGATCGTGACGAGGAATGTGGGGTAATGATCTCCTGATGTTTATTCCTTTATGATTTGTACAGTCTCAGTAGTGCATCTGTATCAAATTTTAATATATATGCTTGAGTTTCCCTTCATTATGTTATCTTTATCTCTGTCTATTACATAGAATCAAGGGTCCCGATTATTTTAGGAAAATTGACCATTCAGTCTTGTGAACTATGCTTAAAAACTTAGTTTGCTGGCCTTGGATATTCTCTTCTTGTTTCTCAAGGATTCTGGGTCTACTTGATAATCTATTTTAAGCTGTTGAGATCTTGTTACCTGTGATTTTCTGGTTAAAATCAGTTATCTTTATCTCTGTCTATTACATAGAAGCAAGGGTCCCGATTATTTTAGGAAAATTGACCATTCAGTCTTGTGAACTATGCTTAAAAACTTAGTTTGCTGGCCTTGGATATTCTCTTCTTGTTTCTCAAGGATTCTGGGTCTACTTGATAATCTATTTTAAGCTGTTGAGATCTTGTTACCTGTGATTTTCTGGTTAAAATCATATTTGTGATTTTTACAACTTTATGTGAATTTTGGGTTTGAGTGTCATCATCCATTTTATCCCCGTATAATCTCTATGGTTGCCTGGTATTTTTTTTTTCCTGATCTGGTTAAAATTACTTGTACTTGCTTTCCTTGAGCTTTTACTCTTTTTGCTACCAAGTTTGCTGGTGTGAAGTTACCAGTAGGGACCTACCTATCTATAATCCTTCTTCATTTTCCTGCTAATTTGAGATCCATTTGTGTATTTTGTTTCCCTATTTATATGCTCACGTTCACAGTATGTTTATCAGGTTTGTCGGAAGAAAATATTAAATATGACTGGCAGCTACCCGATGACGGGGGTTTACACATCAGTTGGATCAATGGCTCCTTTCTATGTTTTTCCATGTGGACATTCCTTCCATGCTCAGTGCCTGATTGCCCATGTCACTAAGTGCACTACTGAAGCTCAAGTAAGTTCTGGAATGTATAGGAGTTCCCGGCTTAAATACCTTATTATTTGAACTTTCCTTGTTTTGAGAATAACGGTGACCATTTTACTGAATTTAAACATTTCTACTTTTCTGAAAAATTAAAGATAAATATTTTTCTTGAACATCCTCAAATTGTTCCTATCTCACACATAGTTATGGTTAAAAGAAAATATTGCTCTTTAGACTAGAAAAATTATAAGCGGACCTTCTTTTCACCACAATGCTTTGATACATGATCCATAGACTACCTGAAGAATCCTGTTTTTAATCATAGTAATTTAAGTATTTCTTTCAATATATATGCGCAGTAAAAGTGGATTTATGTTGCATTTGCACCCTAATTTAATTCTTTTAGCACTGTACTTAGAGATGCAAACATGAGGCTACTTTAATTGCCAAATGAGATATTAAGCAAGGTTTTAAGCATAATGAATACCTTTTTCGACTCGGAATCATGCATCCATTTTTGTGGAAGTATAAGCTGACACCACACCAAATTAAACTGCATAATAACATATTAATTTCTTATATTCTCAAATCACCACATTGAAGAGGGACTTGGAAAATCAGATATCTGCGTATATTAACTAATAATCAATTGCAGATATTAACTATTATGTACAAGGTTTCTGTTTAAATTAGTGGATTCTTTTGTTTGAAAGTTTGTTGGCATTATCCCATGGACTAAAGATATTTTCTGCCATAATCTCATTTGGATGATTATCCACAGGCTGAATATATATTGGATCTCCAAAAGCAGCTGACTCTTTTAGGTAATGGATCGAGGAAGGAAATGAATGGTAGTTTATCTGAAGTCGAACCAATTACGAGCATGACTGCTGGAGATAAGGTCTGAATTACATTTCATACTTCAGACACTGTTCTAGGCAGTGTGAAATAAAGTATGTTTGGTAGTGCTTTTAATTTGGAGGTCCTATGGAATGTATGGACAAAAAGTATGTTTGACTAGGAATATGAAAACAATGAAAAAGCTTGTTGATTGACTTGTTTGCATTATCAAATTGGGGTCCAAACTTCTCGATATTAACGAACACCTTGTTGAAATTAATTCATCTTACCGATTACAAAAATCTTGTAACCGAATTCACATTTTTCATAAATATTCCATCTAAAAGTTCTTTAATATTAAAATTTTCTATTTAATATTATTTGTGTGGCACACACAATTCCCATGCCTCAGATTAACTAGTACTTCAGAATGCACAGTGTTTCACTTAAATTATCCATTAAATGTGGTTTTTTGTTGGCATATAATGTAATATTTGATGTATATATGATGTGCAGATCCGATCACAGTTGGATGATGCCATAGCCAGCGAATGCCCGTTTTGTGGTGACTTGATGATCCGTGAGATATCGCTGCCTTTCGTTCTTCCAGAAGAAACAGAGGTGGCATCTTGGGAGATAAAACCAACTAACCTTGGAAATCAAAAGAGCGTATCTTTAACTGTATAATGAAAGCTTTGAACAAGCCTTGAAAGGGCATGTTACCGGGTTACAAGTGCTTCAAGTCAATGGAAGTACTTCATACTTGAGTCGTATTGCATGTGTTTGTATTGTCTGTGAAAAGGCATACGTCCCTATTCGTTAAAAATAATGTATATATTGGTCTTGTTTGTTGTTGGTGTTGCGCTGGTTGCCTTTCTTTTTCCGAGTGGTATCACTTCTACTCCTTCAAAATTGTATCACGTTTTAGTGTGCTTTCACCATACTAAAAAAGAAGCTAGTTTGGTATAAGGTGCAGTTTTTAGGAGATGTCTGTACCATTTTTGTGAAGTTTCTCCTTGCAGTGAGGTTAGTGTGTGTCGGAAATGTACTTGTAGGGGATTTGTTATATATTCACTCGTTCGAAACTTCAAAGAAACTCCATTTCATTGAACATGAATTTTCTTTTAAAGTCCATCATGTCATTCCATCTTCGAAAAAATGAGTACCGTATATTGTCGTAGTGTGTTTATAGAGAGTAAATATAATAAACATGAATCTAGTGTTCCTTTCTTTTTTTTTTCTTTTTTTAATAGTAATAGTGTATAGTGCTATCCTGAACATGCCATAGTAGGATAGCAACCTGCTATTAGCAGCACAAGCAATCAAATGGTTTGTTGGATGCCAAGTCAGATGCAGCAGAAACATAAATTAAAGTCGCAACAAAACTCGAGTTAGACTTTATTGAGTCCTGATAATTTCTGGTAAGTCATAGATTAGCAAAAACTGAAAGCTAAGGCAACCAAAGTAAAATGAAAAAGAAAAGAAACCCAAGATGACCTTGTTGGTAGAGTCAAGTTACTCAAAAGATGATCGTCGACCTATTTAATTTTTTTCTTTTCTTTCTTTCTTTTTTTTTTTTTTTTTTTATTTTTTAGAGAAGAGAGATTATCTCCAAGAAATTATTTTTGCAGCTGCATTGAATCACATCATGTGTTCTGAACCAGTTTGATGGCTTTCCGCTGTGCTCATTATTTGTCTCGAGTGTTGAACTTCTAGTCTCTGGTGTAGAACACACAAGCTGATGTGCATACTGTAGTAATTCTATCTTGATTTCTTCCAAATGTTGCATGTGACTTTTATTTCATTCTCTAATTGGATTGAAACTCCATGCTTCCTTTTCCTGAACTTTCTGCTTGTTTATTTGCTTGGAGTTGAATATATTGAGTTGATTATTTATATTATTGTAAACTTTTGATGTTTTCTATGCTCCTTCTCATGTTCACCATGATGAGCTTAATTTTCTCCATATGATATAAACTTAAAATTCTGCTACTTATTGGATCTACAGATACAGTCTTGCTTTATTCACGCGAATCCCAGTGTAAATGTATCAAACATGTGATTAATGGAACTATCCTTGATGACCCTAAGATAACAATCCAGCTGTCTTTTCTAATGTTTTCACAAACATGCAGGATGCTTTAAAAACCTTCTTGTTACGGAAGCTTGATAATCTTGCGAAGGATGACAAATGCCAGATCACAATGATTTCCACTTGGGCAACTGAGTTATACTTAGATAAGGTGTGGATGTTGCATATTTTTCTTGGACTAACAACTTCATTTCTCTTTGTAATTAGGAGAGGAAAAAAATAATTTCTCATACTTACATTAAGAGACAGTACATAGATATATACATACAACAGGAACTCTAGATTAGGAAGGATCCTAATTAGGGATTTCTATAATTAAAGTAAAATATATTTCACAATCAGTATATTCTATAACACTCTTCCTTGAGCTAGAGCATAGATATTAATCATGTCCAGCTTGTTACAAATATAATCTACCCAAATCCCATTTAATGCCTTTGTGAAAATATCTCCTAGTTGTTTTCTAGTTTTCCCATATTATGTAGAGATTAAATTCTGTTGCACCTTTTCACGAACGAAATGACAGCCAATCTTAAAATGCTTAGTTCGTTCATGGAATACAGGATTAGAAGCAATATGAAGAGCAGCTTGATTATCACACCACAACTTTGTTGGTATTGAAACTTTAATGCTAACTTCAATTAAGAGTTGATATATCCATACTATCTCACATTGATTGTGCCATAGCTCTATATTTTGATTCTGCACTGGATCAGGACACAACATTTTGTTTCTTACTTTTTCACAAGACCAAATTTCCTCTAACAAAAACACAATAGCCGGTAGTTAATCTTCAGTCAATCTTTGAACTTGCCTAATCTGTATCTGAGAAGCATTCGATGTGGGTATGTCCATGATTTCTGTACGGTATCCCAATATCAAGACGAGTTACTATAAGATAGTTGAATTTTCTAACCAGTCTTCTATACTTCTCAGGATCTTCAAATAGGTCACCATCTTTGGTAAGTTGCAAATTAGGAAGCATTGGAGCGCTACTTGGCTTAGCTCCCAATTTTCCCGTCTCAGTTAATAAGTCTAGTACATATTTTCTTTGAGATAAAATGATACATTTCTTGCTTCTTGTCACCTCAACTCCCAAGAAATATTTCAACACCCCTAAGTCTTTTGTGTGAAGTTAAGTGTGAAGAAAGGACTTCAGAGATGAAATTCCCATAGTATCACTGCCAGTAATAACAATATCATCAACATACACAACAAAAGGAATAATGCCCGATTCAGACTGTTTGTAGAAAATTGAGTGATCAGACTTGCTCTTTGCATTCCAAACTTTTCCGCTGCCTGATTGAATTTCCAAACCACGCACATGGACTCTGTTTCAAATCATATAAGGATCTTCGAAGGTGACATTTTTCACATTCCCCTTGAGCAACAAACTCAGGTGGTTGCTTCATATAAACTTCCTTCTGGAGATCGCCACGTAAGAAAGCATTTTTGATGTCAAATTGATGTAAGAGCCAATTATGTGTAGTTGCCATAGAAATGAACAATCGAACAGACGTTAATTTAGCGATAGGGGAGAGTGTTAAAGCAATCCATACTATAAGTCTAGGAATCCACAAGACGATCTTTAAGTCTAGCCATTGATCCATCATGATTTACTTTGACTGCAAACACCTCCGGACATCCAATAGCCCTTTTTCCCTGCAGGTAAATTTACTAAATCCCAAGTACCATTAGCGTCTAAACCGTTAATCTCCTCTACCATAGCATTACGCCAACCAGTATGGGATAAGACTTCCTAAACAGTTTTCGGAAGGGTCACAAAGTCTACGGAGGCAACAAATGAGCAAGAAGAAGAGGACAAGTGATCATAAGAAAAAAGGATAAAATGAGATAAGTGCATTGATGTTTACCTTTACGAAGAGCGATAGGTAGATCAAGATCGTTGGACACTGGATCCGATGTCGAAGAAGGTTTAGGTGCTGAACATGCATTAGGAGGGTCTCGTCTTCTGGAATAGACCTGACCAATAAGTGGGGTGGTATGGTAGCAACAGTTGTATGAGTAACATTAGTTGATTGATATGTGGCATGATAAACCAACAGATCATCATCATTCCCCTTATTAAAAGAAGTGTAAGTTGTGGGGAAGAAAGGAATATGTTTCAGAAATAACATCAGTTGACACAAGATACTTGTTAAGATTTGGACAGTAGCGTCGATAACCCTTTTGGAGATGAGAGTAACCCGGAAAAAATATTTTAAGGATTTGGGATCTAATTTAGTTATCTGGGGACGAACATCACGAGTATAACAGGTACTACCAAATATCCTTGGTTCAATAGAAAACAAGGGTTTAGTGGGAAAAATGACACTATAAGGAGCCTTACTATGAAGAACAGATGACGGCATTCGATTAATCAAAAACCAGGCTGTGGAGACAACATCAGCCTAGAATTGTTTATGAACATGCATTTGGAACAAGAGTGCCCAAGCTGTCTCAAGAAAGTGTCCATTTTTTCTTTCAGCCACACCATTTTGAGAAGGGGTTGTCAACGCATGAGGATTGATGAAGAATACCATTTTGAAGCTTATAAGTCTGAAGGGAATTGAAAAAATATTCTTTGGCATTATCACTTCTCAATGTATGCGTAGAAAAATTAAACCGTGTTTTAATTTCAGCACAGAAGGCACTAAAATGAGAAAACAATTCAGAAAGATTCTTCATTAAATAAAGTCAAGTCACACTAGAAAAGTCGTCAACAAAAGTAATAAAATATCGAAATTCAGTTTTGGACACAATAGGGCAAGGGCCCCAAACATTGGAATGAACTAACTTAAAACGAGAACTAGCTCTTTTATTGACTCGAGGGACTGAGGACAGACAATGATGTACTCACAATTTAAAGATGACACATTCTGAAATTGAGGACATAATTTCTTCAACAAAGGTAGAGATGGATGTCCTAACCGACAATGTGCTGCAAAGGGAGTTAAGATACCGGAACATGCAATAGACTTAGGCACCTGGGTATCCACAGTATAGAGACCGCCTGATTCATGTTCTTTACCAATAATCTTCTTTGTCATAAGATCCTGAAAAAGACAGTAATTAGGAAAAAGTGAGACACAGAAGTTTAACGTCCGCGTAAGTTTTCTCACAAACATCAAATTAAAAGAAAGTCGTGGTAAACTTAAGACAGAGTATAAGGGAATTAATGGAGTTGGATTAATACTTCCAGAATCGAAAACAGAAGAAGTAGAACCATCTGCTAAAGTAACATTGAAAGGAGATGCATGTGATTGAAAAGTAGAGAAGAGACTACGAGTACTTGTCATATGATCTATGACACCAGAATCAGTGATCCATTTTGAGGAAGAAGAGAGGAGACATGTATTAGGTTTACCTGTCTCAGCAATGACAGATGTAGAGTGAGATGAGGTTTTCAATGCTTCTTGGTACCGAGTGAATTTGGCAAATTCATCTGTAGAAATTGTAATGGTTTGCTTAAAGGACGAGATGGTTGTAACAGAAGCAGCTGCAATATGAGCTAAGTGAGACTTCATAGATTTAGTGTGCAATTTTCGACAAGAGTATTTGGTATGACCCGGCTGATGACAGTAGTAGTAGACAACTCCATTATGATTTCGATTGACTCGACTACTTGTACCCCCCGCCTGTTGTGTTACTTCTGCTACTGCGATTGATAAGAGTAATAGAAAGCCGAAGAAATGAAGCAACAGAAGCACTGAAATTTATACGAAGTGCTCTAGTAAAAGTTTCTTGCAGAGATGGAATCTCAACATTGGAGAGAACCTAGGATTTAGCAGTTTCAAACTGAGAATTAAGGCCAGCTAGAAAACTCATCATAGCCATTTGCTTCCGTTGAGCTTGCTGAACTTTCACATCTGCACTAAAAGGTAATAAGACATTCAATTCTTTATAAGTCTTTTTCAAATTCATCAAACAAGCTTGAAGAGATTGATCGTGTTTGACACGGTAAAAACCTTTACAGATTTCATAAATACGTGATGCGTTTCCTTTTCCAGAGTATATAAATTCTAAATATTCCATTAATTCCTTAACATTCTCACAGTGATTAATTGGGCTGACTATTTTCGCGTCAATGGAATTACGGATTTGTAAGAATAATCGGGCATCATCTCTTAGCCATGTCTGGCGAGTATTATCCGTTGGTGGATTTTCGGTAAGGTGATTGTCCATATAAATACTCCGCAAATAAACTCAAACTGTCTTACTCCAATCAAAAAAATTTGGACCTATTAACTTATGTTCCGTAATTTTGGACATTACTGGAATGACATCAGTCATAACTAAATTCTTTTGTTTCTCAGCCATAGACAGCAACCACAAGATCCAAGTAACAAATCAAAGAGGTAGCTCAAAAGACACTATCCCAAGTCCAACAAATAATAGCCCAAAATAATAGACCCAAATCGCAAATTAATTGGACAATTTAATTAAATTACAGCCCAATTAAATTAGTCTAACAACTTACGGAAGCCAAAAGAAAGCAGCCCAACAACTAAAGTCCAAACAAAATGATATATCCCAGTAAAAGAAATCCAAACCAAAGCCCAACAAAGCCCACAAACAATTCTGACAACTCAGAAGAGATGGTACATATATAGACATACAACAGGAACTCTAAATTAGGAAGGATCCTATTTAGGGATTCCTATAATTAAGGTAAAATATATTTCACAATCGGTATATTCTATAACACTCTTAATCCTGTCCCCATCGAGTAAATTGGTATTTGGTACCATAAATTGTTGAATTTTTGGTTAGTTGCTCTACCTCTTATGCAAAATATTCCACCTCTTATGCAAAATATTCCACTGTTGGTATGTAGTAAAATTCAAGTTTCTTGACAAGGATGCGATAATTTGTTCTCTGTCAAGGCTACTTCTTGAGAATCTAAGAGCTTCCATCATAAGTCTTTTAAATTGCAGATATGGTAATGAACTTGAGATTTTGATGCTGCTTATACATAGCCTTGGCTGCCAAACCTTCAATTGTCACTTCTGTGGCATAGCACACTTTTCTGCTAGTTCAAGGGAATATAGTGGATTCCGAGAATTTGAGTCTAATTGTGAATAAGAAGAATGGAGAAAAAGAAATCCTTGCATTTACTTGACCAGGATTAGCTATTATATCATTGCCAAGACTGAATCCTTGTTTTATAAAATATTCTATATTTGTTGCATTTTTACTGACATCTTGGATGAATGATGAACATACGGAACAAAATTTGCTTTCTGGTGGATAGGAATAATAAAATCCAAGAAAACCAGGACCTAATTGTGGAGGTGGTCATCCGCGGGCACCAAGGAGACTAGTTTATTGTCAATGTTGGCCGCATTGATGTGCAGGATATTGTATATATGTCTGCCTGATGAAATTTCTGATAGGAAATTTGGCATCTGTTACTGGCTTTCCAATTTCTCTCACTTCTACTAATGAGTCTATGTGCATGAAGAATTCGTATATAGCCATTTATTTTCCATGTTCTGTTATCAGATGAATCGGCTACTTTTGGAAGACGATACTGCATCTGAGAATAGTAGTTCAGAGTACCAATCGATTATTAAGGAGTTTTGCGCCTTTTTGAGTGACAGCAAGGATGTATTGGATGAGGCAACAACCATTAAGCTGCTAGAAAGGTTATTCCTGTTGTAGTTAGTTTTGTCTTATTTTAGCTTCTTACATATTTCTCTTGAAATGTAAATCATGGATAAGAGGAAATTTAATAATTTGTTAAAAGTTGCTTAGCCTCTAATGCTTCCCAACTTTGTGTGGATAAGACTTGTCTATAAAACAAAACTTTATTTTTGACACATTTCTAAATTTTACGTTTACGTTTTTATGTCAGAAGTCACATTTTAGATTCCTTGGAAATACGCTGACCAAAAGATCTCTGTATTTAAACATGTTTATTATGATTTCTTGCAGCTATGGTAGGGTTGATGAATTGGTATTCTTTGCTAGTCTTAAGGAGCAACATGAGATTGTGGTCCATCATTATATTCAGGTGCTTCTTTTTCCCCCCACTTTCTTCTAATGCCATCATAATTCTAAATCTTTCAACTGCTGTTTTCTTTATTTCTTGATCATATGCTTCTTCATGTGCCCGGCATAGTTATCATTGATTGATTTATTGCATCCTCTAGTGCCAATATATTCATTTTACCTTTCAGCATAATTTATTGCTTCTCCAATGCATGATACTTCAAGACATCATTTATTTAGCCACAGTTATTCTTTAGTAATTTAAGTCAATACGATTTTGCTGACTTTTTATTTTGTAAATAGCTGGGAGAAGCAAAGAAAGCACTGCAAGTTCTTCAGAAACTTAATGTTCCCATAGACCTTCAGGTATGGGCTAATGGAAAATTTACTTCCAAACTATTTTCCATCAGCACTCTGCACTACAAGTACTGTAACCTCCTTCCCATGATGTCTTTGCTTGAGCTGGTTCATTATGTATGCTAGTAGGCTCTCTCCAGAATCTGTATATTATTATTGAAAGATGATTAGTTCATCCTATTTTGCAGTACAAGTATGCCCCAGACCTTATCATGCTTGATGCATATGAAACTGTAGAATCATGGATGATTAGGAAAGACCTGAATCCAAGGAAGCTCATTCCTGCAATGATGCGTTATTCAAGTGAATCGCATTCAAAGTAACTTTTATCTCTACTTAGTTTATTTTGCTTTCTTTTTCTTTGATAATGGGATAGACCATATACTCTTGCTGTTGCATTGATGATTGGAAGTCTAAAACTCTTCACACTTATATTGCATTGGTTAGTGTAAGAAAATTGAGGACTCTCTGCAATTATACTTGCGTTAGCTTTAGGACAAGTCCTTCACTTAGGCTGACTTCTAGTTTTCAACTCAAAAATTTCACTGCAGCTGTATCTTTCTCATATCGAGATCTTAAACTAGTATTGTTGATATGTTGCTTGTTGTCAGAACTCTCGATGAATAACATAAATGTACAAAGGACCAAGACCAGTATAATTAGTACTGCTGCAGATCTGATATCAAATAAAATTAGTTTCAATAAAATGACAATTAAAAGGTCTGGAGAAAAGTAATGCAAGTAAAATAAATTTTTGGACTGAAAATACTGAAGGACTAAGATTTCCATAGATACAACCCTTTTACCTTCTGTCTTAATGGGCTTGGTTTGAATGTGCCGTAAAAATAGGATTAATGGGTTTGATCTTTTGCTTTATTGAGTTAGTTTGAGCAGCATTGAGTTGATTATAAGCAATTAAAGTTCATTCTTTACTTGACTAGGAAATAGTATACGTTATACCATCAGATATTATCCACTATTAATTCGAATCTTTTGGTGGAATTATTATTAATTTTTTTATTTTTGATCAATTGATGAATGTTTATTCTGCCAAATTTTCAGAAATGAAACTCATGAAGTAATAAAATATCTGGAGTATTGTGTTCATCGTTTGCAGAATGAGGATCCTAGTGTTCACAATTTGTTGCTCTCATTGTATGCCAAGCAGGTTTGTTTTGCTCAGTATACTTTCTGCATGTCTTGTTAACCACGTAATCATGCGTTTTCTTTCTCTACCATCTTTTTGTTATTATAGATGTTAAAATCATCCTCAAAATTTTTTCACTGGGAATTTCCATATTTTCTCTGAGAAACTTCACAGTATAGTGATCTGATGTAATTTCCATTTCTTTTCCTCAAACTAAAGGCACCTAGAGTCCTTGTCAATCATAACTTTAAGTAAGGACGTATTTGAAAATGAAATAAATATTTTGATAAGGTTCATTCTGTGTGGGCGTTCCATTAAGTAAATGAGGACATATTTTCCTATACATTATCTTAATAAACATTTTTTGTGCTCTAATTGTGGCATAAAAGTTTTTCATGATTTGTTGATATAGTAAATGCAACCAATAGAAACCATTCATCCGCATTGAACCATATTCCAAACTCTTGATGCATTCATTCACAAAAAGAAAATAATATAGAGATCATAGTTCCACCTCTTTTTTTCAATGTTCATGTCCCTATTCATTTCTTAGGAGGATGAGAGTGCTCTTCTGCGTTTTCTGCAATGCAAGTTTGGAAAAGGGCGGCCCAATGGTCCTGAATTCTTCTACGATCCAAAATATGCATTGCGCCTTTGTCTCAAGGAAAAACGGATGCGCGCCTGTGTCCATATATACAGCATGATGTCTATGCATGAAGAAGCAGTTGCCCTGGCTTTGCAGGTAAGAGCTTCAAATTGACAGGTATTCAGTCACTGGACTTGAATTACCTACAAACAATAATTTGAACATGTTGACAATGCTATTTATGTTAAAAGGGTCAACTCTCCTGTTCAATATTTATAGAGATAAAGTTCGTAATGCACTAAAATTTTTATATTTGCATGCACACAAGCTGACTTACACAGGTGGTGGCAGTATGTAACAGATTATTTCTAGAATTCTCTCTTTATTCTCCTATGGTTGACTGTTTATGACGAGCTTTCATATCATATCAGGGTTCACTCCAGAATTTGTTAAGATGTCAAACATCCATTTTGTCGTTCACGTGTTCACGTATTTGTATTCAATGCACACACACATATTCAAGTGTCCAGAAATTTCATCCAATGCAATAGGTCGATCCAGAGCTTGCTATGGCTGAAGCTGATAAGGTTGAAGATGATGAAGATTTGCGGAAAAAACTTTGGCTTATGATTGCCAAGCATGTCATTGGACAGGAGAAGGGAACGAAAAGGGAGAACATCCGAAAGGCAATAGCATTTCTCAAGGAAACTGATGGACTTTTAAAGATTGAAGATATTTTACCCTTTTTCCCAGATTTTGCGTTGATTGATGATTTCAAGGTATGTTTCTTTCTTTTAGTTTTTCTGTTCAGATTCATTACATGATGGTTGTGCATTATTGTGTTCCATCTTTGGTTTGTTTCTTTCATGTGCTGTTTGTAAACATTCTCATCAATGTTATTGGTCCAGCCAGAATCCAACTTCAGAAAGTTTTAGTAACCAGCCTTCATGTCATTCTTATTTTCTATTTGAGGGAGAGTTCATTGCATGGACATCTGATCAACATCTATTTAATTTCTATGGATCATTGTATTTCTTTCGACTGGCTCAAGCATTAGTTATTATCACATCAATATAAATGATGACTTTTATCCTTGCTATGGCTTAGACTAGTTTTCAGTTGTCTCTAGCTTAAATTTCCTCAAATTGTAGGAGGCAATCTGCTCATCATTGGAGGATTACAACGAGCAAATTGAGAAACTCAAAGAGAAGATGAATGATGCTACCCGTGGTGCAGACAACATTAGGAATGATATCAGTGCACTTGCACAACGATATGCTATCATCGATCGTGACGAGGAATGTGGGGTAATGATCTCCTGATGTTTATTCCTTTATGATTTGTACAGTCTCAGTAGTGCATCTGTATCAAATTTTAATATATATGCTTGAGTTTCCCTTCATTATGTTATCTTTATCTCTGTCTATTACATAGAATCAAGGGTCCCGATTATTTTAGGAAAATTGACCATTCAGTCTTGTGAACTATGCTTAAAAACTTAGTTTGCTGGCCTTGGATATTCTCTTCTTGTTTCTCAAGGATTCTGGGTCTACTTGATAATCTATTTTAAGCTGTTGAGATCTTGTTACCTGTGATTTTCTGGTTAAAATCATATTTGTGATTTTTACAACTTTATGTGAATTTTGGGTTTGAGTGTCATCATCCATTTTATCCCCGTATAATCTCTATGGTTGCCTGGTATTTTTTTTTTTCCTGATCTGGTTAAAATTACTTGTACTTGCTTTCCTTGAGCTTTTACTCTTTTTGCTACCAAGTTTGCTGGTGTGAAGTTACCAGTAGGGACCTACCTATCTATAATCCTTCTTCATTTTCCTGCTAATTTGAGATCCATTTGTGTATTTTGTTTCCCTATTTATATGCTCACGTTCACAGTATGTTTATCAGGTTTGTCGGAAGAAAATATTAAATATGACTGGCAGCTACCCGATGACGGGGGTTTACACATCAGTTGGATCAATGGCTCCTTTCTATGTTTTTCCATGTGGACATTCCTTCCATGCTCAGTGCCTGATTGCCCATGTCACTAAGTGCACTACTGAAGCTCAAGTAAGTTCTGGAATGTATAGGAGTTCCCGGCTTAAATACCTTATTATTTGAACTTTCCTTGTTTTGAGAATAACGGTGACCATTTTACTGAATTTAAACATTTCTACTTTTCTGAAAAATTAAAGATAAATATTTTTCTTGAACATCCTCAAATTGTTCCTATCTCACACATAGTTATGGTTAAAAGAAAATATTGCTCTTTAGACTAGAAAAATTATAAGCGGACCTTCTTTTCACCACAATGCTTTGATACATGATCCATAGACTACCTGAAGAATCCTGTTTTTAATCATAGTAATTTAAGTATTTCTTTCAATATATATGCGCAGTAAAAGTGGATTTATGTTGCATTTGCACCCTAATTTAATTCTTTTAGCACTGTACTTAGAGATGCAAACATGAGGCTACTTTAATTGCCAAATGAGATATTAAGCAAGGTTTTAAGCATAATGAATACCTTTTTCGACTCGGAATCATGCATCCATTTTTGTGGAAGTATAAGCTGACACCACACCAAATTAAACTGCATAATAACATATTAATTTCTTATATTCTCAAATCACCACATTGAAGAGGGACTTGGAAAATCAGATATCTGCGTATATTAACTAATAATCAATTGCAGATATTAACTATTATGTACAAGGTTTCTGTTTAAATTAGTGGATTCTTTTGTTTGAAAGTTTGTTGGCATTATCCCATGGACTAAAGATATTTTCTGCCATAATCTCATTTGGATGATTATCCACAGGCTGAATATATATTGGATCTCCAAAAGCAGCTGACTCTTTTAGGTAATGGATCGAGGAAGGAAATGAATGGTAGTTTATCTGAAGTCGAACCAATTACGAGCATGACTGCTGGAGATAAGGTCTGAATTACATTTCATACTTCAGACACTGTTCTAGGCAGTGTGAAATAAAGTATGTTTGGTAGTGCTTTTAATTTGGAGGTCCTATGGAATGTATGGACAAAAAGTATGTTTGACTAGGAATATGAAAACAATGAAAAAGCTTGTTGATTGACTTGTTTGCATTATCAAATTGGGGTCCAAACTTCTCGATATTAACGAACACCTTGTTGAAATTAATTCATCTTACGATTACAAAAATCTTGTAACCGAATTCACATTTTTCATAAATATTCCATCTAAAAGTTCTTTAATATTAAAATTTTCTATTTAATATTATTTGTGTGGCACACACAATTCCCATGCCTCAGATTAACTAGTACTTCAGAATGCACAGTGTTTCACTTAAATTATCCATTAAATGTGGTTTTTTGTTGGCATATAATGTAATATTTGATGTATATATGATGTGCAGATCCGATCACAGTTGGATGATGCCATAGCCAGCGAATGCCCGTTTTGTGGTGACTTGATGATCCGTGAGATATCGCTGCCTTTCGTTCTTCCAGAAGAAACAGAGGTGGCATCTTGGGAGATAAAACCAACTAACCTTGGAAATCAAAAGAGCGTATCTTTAACTGTATAATGAAAGCTTTGAACAAGCCTTGAAAGGGCATGTTACCGGGTTACAAGTGCTTCAAGTCAATGGAAGTACTTCATACTTGAGTCGTATTGCATGTGTTTGTATTGTCTGTGAAAAGGCATACGTCCCTATTCGTTAAAAATAATGTATATATTGGTCTTGTTTGTTGTTGGTGTTGCGCTGGTTGCCTTTCTTTTTCCGAGTGGTATCACTTCTACTCCTTCAAAATTGTATCACGTTTTAGTGTGCTTTCACCATACTAAAAAAGAAGCTAGTTTGGTATAAGGTGCAGTTTTTAGGAGATGTCTGTACCATTTTTGTGAAGTTTCTCCTTGCAGTGAGGTTAGTGTGTGTCGGAAATGTACTTGTAGGGGATTTGTTATATATTCACTCGTTCGAAACTTCAAAGAAACTCCATTTCATTGAACATGAATTTTCTTTTAAAGTCCATCATGTCATTCCATCTTCAAAAAAACGAGTACCTTATATTGTCGTAGTGTGTCTATAGATAGTAAATATAATAAACATGAATCTAGTGTTCCTTTCTTTTTTTTTTCTTTTTTTAATAGTAATAGTGTATAGTGCTATCCTGAACATGCCATAGTAGGATAGCAACCTGCTATTAGCAGCACAAGCAATCAAATGGTTTGTTGGATGCCAAGTCAGATGCAGCAGAAACATAAATTAAAGTCGCAACAAAACTCGAGTTAGACTTTATTGAGTCCTGATAATTTCTGGTAAGTCATAGATTAGCAAAAACTGAAAGCTAAGGCAACCAAAGTAAAATGAAAAAGAAAAGAAACCCAAGATGACTTTGTTGGTAAAATCCTCGAGTCAAGTTACTCAAAAGATGATCGGCGACCTATTTAATTTTTTTCTTTTCTTTCTTTTTTTTTTCTTTTGTGTGTGTGTGTGTGTGTTTTTTTTTTTTTTTTTTTTTTTTTTTTTTTTGGGGGGGTGTTTTTTTTTTTTTTTTTTTTTTGGTTTTTTTTTGGGGGTGGTGAGGGTTTAAATATCTGAGTTGCAGCCCTTTGAGCTTGTTCAAATGTTTTTTAGTTGTCATTGAATTGTTAATTTTTTGAGTTGCCATTGGAATTTACCAAAATTTTATCCATACATCACTTTGTCACTCATTGGAAATTAACGGACTTGATGACATGATATACAGAATTTCACACAAATGTTGAAAGCATGTAATGTGTGAAATTTCATGCGTCACACATCAAATCCGTTAAATTATAAAACGGCGAGTGATGAAAGTCGTAACATCATAAATTCAATGGAGACTTTGAAAACTTATAAAATTCAATGGAAATTGTATAAAATTTGAAAAAGTTTAGTGAAAACTTGAAAACGTTTTAAAGATTCGACTGAAAACAAGTATATCGTTACAAGCATCTATACGTATACACGTGTGTTGCATTGAAAATTCAATTCAAAATGCCTTTTTATTAAAATAATATCACTCATCATATGTGGTGATTTATTAGTCTGGATGATAGTAAACCTTTTGATTCGTTGTTTATTACATCACAGTTTTATTGAACAATGGATCAAAGGGCCATTACTGCCTAAATTGACGATAAATATTACTTTTCAAGTTGAAATCTGTTTTCAAACTTGTCGAGTCCTATGAATGTCATATTTTATATGGTTTATGAGAGATAAAACAGCAAGGTTATTACTACCTAAATTGACATTTGTTGCCTCAAAACTCAACATACATAGTTTCTTTAAATAAAGGTTCCAAAACATGCACATAATTGCATTCTTCTCTTCTTCATTAGGCTGCAAGACCATAGAACACAAGGATTCTCTATGGTTATGTTATTCATGGCCAATGGGATGCCTCCAAAATAATTGTACTGGTTACAAATCCTGCAAAATATTCAAATTATATAGTTTCGATCGTTATAAGAATGCTAGCAGAATTATTAAGCAATGATATAGTATATTTAGAGTCGGCTACATGAAATTATACCTGCTAATGTAACCATTAGAGACCATTTTCTTCTGTGGGATTCTGAGTGGACTGCATTTCACAAAGATTAATGGTTAGAAGAGCAAAAACCAAATACCAGAATAGCACCGGCGACGATCGGATGGGAAGGGACTGGATGCGATTAACAAAGAAAAATGAGTCATGTCTAGTATGTTGAACTGATTAGTACTCGTACTCGACTAGTTAATGACTAAAAATAGGACAAATCTAATCGAGCGTATCAACATGTTAATCTTACACTGTTGGAACGAAGAAAAAGTGAGAGAGAGGCATAATGACAAACCTAAATCACAAGTTCCGGTAGAATTCCATCCACCACACAAGCACAAGTCGTTTTTGTCATCAATGTCATGCCCACACGATCCACCGGTGGCTTCACAAGCTCGACAGAAGCTAGCATTTCCTTGCAGAGAGTA